TGGCATTTTTTTCTTCCCTATTTGTAGCCGCTGCATGCCACCTCTCGGGGTTCCACACCCCGTCCTCGAGGTGGGCCTTTAGAAGTGTACTAGGCCAGGCCTGCGCGAAGGGGGAATCGCGCAAGGCCAGCAGGGCAGTCCTAGGGTACATTTCCGCGACAATGTTCTTAAGTCCAGCAGCGGAGATTCAGTACAGCAGTACTAGTATAATTTACTTTACCCCACCCAGTTTTTGTACAAAACGGCTGCCTTCTAAATATGATCTGGTGCTAATGTAGGACTTGTGGGGTGAGGGTGTATCTGAATAAATCTGGTGTATTCTTAAATCTTTGGCGATGGTGGGAAATCAAAGAGAAAGAGAAAGGCAGAAGAGATAAGAAAAATATTTGACTGGAACATAATTAAGCGAATGGGCCTTTGCAACAGTGACTCATAGCATCTCTACAGAGATATAATCAATTTTAAGTGAATACTTTTTTTTTGACAAGACTTAGGTAGAGTAAGCAGAAATATTGAATATTTACCCTGAGGTTCATCAGGGGAGTTTAACTGAAAACTCCACAACAAAACTAAGCAATAACTACAAAAGGATAAAAATGCATTTAATTTGGACCAAATACTGTTTGGGGTGTTTCCTACATTTGTGATAATCTTATTAAATACGAAGAGGATTTTTTTTAATATAAATAATATATTTAACTGTCATTATGACTTTGTTATTTCTGTATTCCATATATATCGTTCCTTTCTTGTAGATCTATTCTGATGGTGAATTTCTCCATTTCATTGATGGATTTAATGAAGAAAAAAGCAATTGGATGCGTTATGTGAATCCAGCCCACTCTGTTCAGGAGCAGAACTTGGCTGCATGTCAGAATGGCATGAACATCTACTTCTACACCATCAAGCCTATTCCTCCTGGCCAAGAGTTGCTTGTATGGTATTGTCAGGACTTTGCAGATAGATTGCATTATCCTTCCACTGGAGACTTGGTGATGTTGAATAGTAAGTAATTTAGATTTACTACTTGTAAAGAAATATCTTTTGTCAGTGGAATGTTGATCATGGATATGAATCATCGTATGAATGATGAACCTCAGGGTTCAAATATGATTGCAGGAGAAGACATTTTAAACAGGAAACATTCTTTTCTTAATTAAAAACATAACTCAGCATAACCCCATTTAAGGAGACAAAAATGTAGCTATACTTTTGGCTGAACATCCTGTTATGAGGCTGTTTCAGAGCTTAATCTGAACGTTCATGCGCTGTTGTTGATATTGTGTTTATACTAATAACCCTAATCCTAGCCATGTGGGGAGAGGAAAACTCAACCTTAGGATAAAGCCACAGGTTAAAAATGACAAAGAAAAGAATGCCATTCCAAAATCTCGATGGCAGGAATTCAAGTTTCTGGGGATGTTTATATGAATATCATTACAAGACCGGTAGTTTTTCATAATTTTCATGGTTGGTTTATTTGCTCAGAAAATTCACTTAATGTTTGAAGGAGCTGATATAATTCTTTTATGAATAAATCAGAGCATTTTCACTTCATATAACTTTTTGCAATCTCCTGAATTCACATCCATCTATATGTTTATGTTAGTTATTGCTTTGTGTCACAAAATTTTATAATTGCTCTCTTAACAAAAACATCCAATCTTTTCATGTATTAACAACAACAACAAAATTCTATAGACCACAATCCCAATGCACATCTGAGGTGAAATAAATTTTACTGAATGTGGTGGGACTTACTGTTGAGCAGAGAGGATTAGTTTGTTAATATTTTCAAACTGTGCAGGTAGAATTTGGTTTCAATGCTGGTTCAGTGCAAATATTTTTACTTCCATTATTTAGTAACCACATCACTTAGCAACCAATTTGCCAGTCCCAATTGTAGTCTCTCTCTAAGCAAAGACTTCCTGTACAAAGAGATACTAGGGCTATAGAATAAACTGGGAAATAAAAAAAAATAATCCTAGAAAAGTGCAGTGGAACTCACTTCAAGGAAAAAGGAAATATTTACTTACTTAGGAAATTGGTACAAATTAAAAATCCATTCTTTTTATTAATGTAGTATAGTAAATAAATCTGTGTAATGTTGCTACAACAATCAAAGAAATTGCTGGTTAAGATTGAAAAACATTCTTGGAAATTTTAAAATATGCATAAAAAGATTATTTCAACACAAGTTGAATCATGTTGCTTATCACCTTTACACCTCACATGTTCTGCCTCCAGTGTAGAAGCTTTAATGAAGTGAAGAGTTTTTAACTTGTTATATTGATTTTAAGTATTGTAAACTGCCTAGGGTTATATTTGAGTGGGAATACATACATGCATACATATATATATATACATACATATACATATATACATGCTGTCATATAAAAGAGCATCCTTACTTAAAAGCAGTAAAATAGGCCAGGATCCAGATAGCATCTATTTTCAAATAGGGTAATTAGTGTATCTTTAAGTCAGGTACATTTGCATCTGTTTCTATATAAAATTGCTGTCTACCATGATAATGTCAAGCAGTATGAACCTTTTTACTGAACTAAAATTTGGAATCCTGGCTAATTGAAATCCATTCCCCACCTTACGTTTTCATGTCTTCATTTTTCCCTTCTTATATTATTTCTCCTGTAACTCTCCATTTCTGAGCTACTGTGTCATAAATAGATTATTACAAGTATATTCTCAAACTATGTCTATATTTTTGTTTTATAATAATTTGTGCCGAAAAGGGGCTTCCTAAGCATTCAGATAAAAATAGTTGTACTCTGTTCATCATGTACTGTTTATTGTTTGACGTTATGAAATTGTAAGAATAACATAACTGTCCATGATACTGATTTAAATTATTACAAATTCAGTAAAATAGCATAGGCATGCATAAGATAGAGACTTCCAGTTCTGCCCTGTAGCGGCCCGGCTGAAGGAGGCCCTGCCAGGGGGCCCTAAATAGGTCAAAAGTCACCCCGGAGAGGCGACAAAGAAGGAAGAGCGCTCAGATGATCGCAGAACAACAGCATCAATCCATCAATCTGGGGGAAGCCATCAAACTCGACAGGAGAAAGGCTAGATGCACATCAGTATCTAGCCCAAGCTACTAGCAACCGAAGTCCGAAAGCACGAACCAGAACAACGGTGAACAGCGTGTTTGAAGCTGGGTGAGAATATCGATTTCTCTTCTATTCTGTAACTGATTCCTTGGAAAAGAGCCCCAAAGCAAGAAATCCTCCTAAAGTGAGGGAGGGGACTAAATCCCCACCCATCCATAGACAGAAGTGGCAAATTAATTTCCAAGGGGGAACGAAATATACTGAAATGAAATTAATAACACTATAGTCTGTATAAATCTGAAAATTAAGAAAACCATTAAGATTTTAAGATGCCCAGAAACAAAGAATAATCTGTTCCCTTGAACTTTAATAGCCTTCAGCTAAATAGAAAACAGCTGGGAACAAAGAAAGAAAACATACTGGGCCATTTTTAAGCTTAAAAAATGTCTGCAGAAAAAGAAAACTTTAACTGTTATCTAAGCTCAAGAATTGTTTGCAGAAAAAGAAAAACTTTGACTCTTGGCTAATCTTCTAGGGGGAAATTTACTAGAAGGCTTCAAGATAGCTAAACATTCTGGATTGCAGCTCTGACTGGTTAATCATTGACCCTTGAATAGAAGAATTGTTATAAAATACTGCTTTCACTGATGCCTTCACAATTGGAAACGCATTGGATTACAAAAACCATATATAAAGATAAGAATTATATAAGATTTGGTTGTTTGGATTTTGAGATTGGCTGCTTTGATAAGGCTAACTACAGAGATTATGGTACTGGTAAAAGACTATTTGGAGGGGGGAAATGAAATGGATGTAGCATATTTATCTAAAAGGGACAGGAAACCACACCTAATATACCCTTCTGAAGGATCTAGCCTGGAACATCAGAGATCTACAGGAGTAATACTTCAAGACAAGACAAGTACTTTTCAAATGACAATAGTATCAAATCACATGAGATCAAAAACAACTTTGATGACATAAATGAGTACATCTTCAATCCAAACTTACAATTAAAAAACTCTCAGCAAACGACGATAAAGAATGAACAAATAAATCAGATAACAGAACACAAACTAGAAGAAAGTAACTTAAATAGGGAAGCTACAAATGAAGAGAACTACAACTTAACACAAACAGAAAAAAATCTACAAGACTTTTACCACGACAGTGAAAATGGAAAAGATAATTTTATCCGTCAGGACTTCAAAACAAATTCGAGGATAACAAAGAAGATTTAACAAAATGGATTATAAACCTGCCAGGGAAATCATCAGAATCTGGGAGACAAAAAGCATATATTCTACTCAACTTGCCCTTCTCACTCCCAACAACACTTACAAAAATACAGGAACTTCCTGGCAAGCGGAATATACTAACTTGGAAAGCTATTTGGCAAAAGAAGAAGGCTAGAGTTAGACTTAAGAGATATGATTCGACTTACCAGATGGAGTACTACTGTACATGATTAAACATTTGTTTGAATATGGTTAAAAGAACAGATAATTTTGGATATAAAGGGACCCTATAGTAAGAGGGTAAGAGATATAAGTAGTATAGTATTTTTTACAATATATGAAATGTTAAAATACTGGGATGATGTATGTGAATGGGAAGTTTGGAAATTTAAAGGTAATTAATTTTGAGAGAATTATGAATGAGAATAATGATTTGAATACTGTGGGGAAATTAAGCTTAAATAAGAATTTTGAAAAAAGGACATATAGTGACTTAACAAGATAAATTTTACAAATATAGTTGAAATATAAGTTGTTCAGAAAAGATGTTATATGTGGATGTTATAGGATATATAAGTAGTATAGTATTTTTATAATATATGAAATACGAAAATATTGGGATGGTATATGTAAAGAAAAAGTTGGATATTTAGGTTATCAATTTTGAGAAAACTATGTCTGATAAGAATGGTTTGAATACTGAGGGGAAATTAAGTTTTAAATAAGAAGTTTGAAAACAGGACACATAGTGAACTAATAAGATGACAAATACAATTGAAACATAAGTTAATTAGAAAAGATGTTATATATGGATGTCATTGTTTGTACAAACACAAAAAATGTTTATATCCAACCTTGTATGCATTGAAAATATTATTACATTTATCTAACGTTGACAAAGGAGAATACCATTGGAAGAAGGGGAGATCAAGGAAACATATTATTAATCCATATATTGATTATGGAATTATAGAAAATAATAATTATTGATTGTTTTTTCAAATATATGAATCCAGACAACACTCTCTTTACTAAGCACTATGGATTGTTATTGCAAAAAATCAATAAAATATATTTTTTAAAAATGGAATGCATAAGATAGCAGGGCCTGCACATGCAGTAAGTCAATTTTAAATGCTAGAGGGATGTGAATTAGTCACAATCTGATTTTTGAAAAAGCCAAATAAATATTTTGTCTCCCAAAATAACTGAGAAAGTTCAGGTTCATGTTGAAAACCCCAGGTTCAACATTAACTATGAGAGGGATCTCGGAGTCCTAGTGGACAGTCACTTAAATATGAGCCAGCAGTGTGCTGGAGCTGCCAAAAAAGCCAATATAGTGCTGCCTGAGCAGGGGGTTGGACTAGATGACCTCCAAGGTCCCTTCCAACATTATTATTATTATTATTATTATTATTATTATTATTATTATTATTATTATTATTATTATTATTATTAAAGCCCTGTGTTTATGATGCCTTTACATAAATTTGTGATGTCAGAAACACTGGATTTCTGTCTGCTGTAGTAAAAAAAGAGATATGGTAGAGCTTGTCATGTATTCCACAAATGAGCAGAGAAAATGAATAGGAGTTTGCTTCATCTTAATTTTGAGAAAAAATTAAAGTGACGTGACATCTAGGAAAATAATCACCTAAGTAAAAAGATACATATAGGTTTTCTTGGAGATAATATAGATGCAATTTTCTTTGTTGCTTTCTGGGATATCATTTTTTTTTCTTTTGACTTCTTGCAGCCCTGAGGTTATGAGGTAATTTGTCATCCAAGTTCAAACCAAGGCGTGCTTAGGTTTTGAGGAATTAGCTAAGGTTTGTGCAGAGGAAATATTACAGAGATTTATAATAGTTAGCAAGTTAACATGCTAAATTCTGTAGCTTAAAATCTTTTTTTATAGCAGAACTGAAGTGTAACTGATGAAATTGGTTAGCAGTAGATTCAGATTAAAACATATTTTATTATATAATATAATTAATTTATAGAAATCTCTGGCATAAGATGTGGTTGTCACTAACTTAGACTGATTTTAAAAGGGATTTAATATATGTATTAATGGAGGACCAACCTAACAGTCACTTTCTGGGAAGGAACAGCAGAAAAGCTTTTCATTCTCATGGTCTAATAATGATCTTCTCAATAATATGTGACTTAAAAGGATGTTTGACTAAATGGACCTTTTCTTCTAGTTCAGCTGGATAGATAGATAGGTAGATAGATAGATAGATAGATAGATAGATAGATAGATAGATAGATAGATAGATAGATAGATAGATAGATAGATAGATAGATAGATAGATAGATAGATAGATCTCTACTTATCAAGCAAATGGAAAGTCATTGAAACCTTTTGCTTGTTTATTTGTTTAATCCATCTTCCTTATTTTTATAAATAACTCAAGGTGGTGAACATACACAATACTTCTTAAGCCTCTTATTTTTCCTCACAACAAGTCTTGTGAGGTGGTTTGGGCTGAAAGAGAGTGATTGCCTAATGTCACTAGTTGGCTTTCAGGGCCAAAGTGGGACTAGAACTCGCATCTCTTGGTTTCTAGCATGGTGCCTTAGCCATTGGACTAAATACTCATTGGTCAAAATTTTCCTTAGAGGAAGAGAAGGATGATAAATAAAATAAAAGATGCAAAATTATAGTAGTGCTAGATTTATTGCTTATTATCTTTGCCATATTAAAGGTGAAACAGCAGCATATAAATGTATATGGTTAAACAGATCACATGATAATTGACTGGTATTATCACTAGCATTATAAAATACAAATATGAATCATGCACATATTATGGGTGCGTTTTCAAAGCAGTAGCAAATCTTTGTTCTCCCATCATAATCAGGAGATTAATGGGTTTATTCTGGAGCTAGGAAAAAACACATTTAGAAATAAAATTTGAACTAATGAAATTTTAAATAATAACCTTCATTCTAGAATCTGTGGGGGCGGGGTGAAGTAGAACTCCGAGGTTCTCTTCTGGCAAAACAGCCATTTTATTTAAAAATGTGAATCAGCATTATTAAAATTAATCACTCAAAATGTTGATCGGCATTTACTCTGGAAATGACACTGTACGCCCACAGCTATTTTTTGAGGTCTCGGGGGAAAGAATTAAAATGTCTCAGGCAGCTAATAGCATTACAAATGAGAAGAATTTTGCAACCAGATCTGAAGAAAACTTAATTCACTCTTTATTTGTATTTCTTTTTTCACTAACCAGTACATGGCTACACTGGTACCAATTTTTAATCATACTGTCAGTAATTTATGTCTATATAGGTTGAATTTACTGCCATTCATTTATATGATTATTTTAATGCAGTTTCTGTGTTTCTATGTTTTTTGTCTATGGATGATTATATAATATTACCCTGTATTAGAGTTTACATGCAGGGAGATGCTTGAATGAATTTTAGATTGGCATATGAATCAACTGGCATATGAATCTGATTTCCGAATCTGCTCACTGTCAGAAGGACATCAAATAAGTTGTGTGAATCGAAGCTATGTTCAGATAAATAAAATCCATATGAGGCTGAATAGAGTATGTAGTCTTTTCTACATGGAGTCCATGTGTCTAAAAAGTATGCACACTGGGCCAGTATTTTCCTTGGCTTCCTATGATTTATCCAATAGCATTATATTTCCCATTGTCTTTAGTGTTGGATCTATAGAAATAATAAGAGAGTAGAATAAAGTAATATTTAGTTATTCTCTACTTTATTTTCCTTCTCCCAAATGTAAACATGTATTTGGCCACTCCTTACTTTTTGCTTTGAATGAGGAGCCAATCAATTGAAAGAAACTTTGAAAAAAGGAACCTCTCCAAGAAATAGACTAATGCAGAGCGGGCAGCTTCATGACTTTAAGAAGCTAAGAATTATATTTCCTGCCAGCCTCTACCAACATAGCCAATGGATAGGGAGTTCAGAAGAGGTAAAAAGAGGTAAACGCTAGTTTACACATTACTAAGAAATTAGCTGCCAAAAAATACATACCTGGCAGCCAATCCCAGATCCTTCTTGAGCTGGAAATATGGCACATTTCCTTAGAATCTTTCTCATTCAATACATATATTCAATACATTCAAAGAAAGTCTATATTAAACATTGAAGAACCCTAAATGTCTTCTTCAGCAGTTACAGAAAGCTACCATGTATATATCCATGTATATATATATATCTCAGGGAGACTTAGACGAGTCCAGCATAGCAGCCTTAAGGACTATGTAAAGTGCAACAGAAAAGAGATGCCAATCATTGAGCAGGTTTCTTCAGTTTCAGTTCCAACAATTAACATGATGAAGTAGTTGAGGTAATAGGCTAGGAATAAAAAGGCCCAGGTTCTTCTCTATCCTTGGCCATCGAAGGTCATTGGAAGACTTTGGGCACATCACTTTCTCTTTCAGCCCAATGTAGCTCACAGCATTGCTGTTTGTGAAAAAAATAGGAGGAAGGAGCCTCTGTATGTTACTTTGAGCTCCTATATAAAAGTGAGGAGATAAATAAATGAATAAAAGATACTCCCTTGTATGTTGTGCAAGATACAATCCAGCGGTACAGGTTCTTCCATAGCAAAGCACTATACCACTTGCTGTGTTCAGGCACTTCTAAGGAAAGCAACCTTTGGAACAAAAAAACAGAAAACTTATAAATGTTTCATCCATTTTGGAATCCAAGATATTCAGAGACTTCTTAAATCAAATGTACTATTGAAGTCAGGGATGTTTCTCCTGGGTTTGATGGAGAAACAAATTTTTAAAAATATGGAACTTTGTTTTTATATGTGGCATAGCAGCAAGACTTCTGTATGCCCAGAGATGGAAGAACTCACATACAGCCACAAGGGAAGAATGGATTATGAAATTAATGGAGTTGGCAGAGATAGTGAAATTGACTGCTTTGATTAAAGAAAAGACTTCCTACTTGGAAACCACTCTTCGATTTTTTTTTTTTGTTTGAAACTGAAAGAAATGAAAATTTAACCTTGGGCTTTGATGTCTATGATGATAGAAGTACCATTTGTTATGGTTTATTCTGTTCAAAGAGTCATTGATTTTTAGGTTTTTATCTGTATTAAAGAAGTTAACTTTTTAAATAGTTTTTCCTCTTTTGTTTGCAACTCCCAATCTTGCCTTTTTCTTACTCCCTTTCCTTTCTTTCTAACTCTTTTTTCTTCTTTGCTTCTTTGTATTTTATACCTTTTTGAAATTTAATAAAGTTTAGGAAAAGTTTGTGCTAATTGAAAAGGCTTTTGTTTTTAGTTTTTATTACAATACCGCATCCTCAGTGTGTCTTTTCTTAAAGCTTAAAACTAGAAACCACTTCACACATCATAGCAAAAGCAGGTGTATATTAAAAATGGTGAATATGAAGAGGCCTACATGTCTTCTTTTCTCACCACATACGCACCACAGAAACACTTCAGGGAGCTGAGACCAGTCATCACATCCCTCAGTGTTTCAGCAATATATGTGTGGTAGGAAAAAATTATGTAGCTACCTGACACAGCATGTGTGTACCCATATCTATTGAAGCCACAGTTAAAATAGAGTTACGTTAAAAGTAGGGTTGCTGCGCAAACCCTAACTGGAGAGAAAAAAAGAGAATTGCTATTTTCTTTTGATGAAAATATTGAAAATTGTGTTACTTTTATAATCAAGTCTCGTAAACTACTAACTGGGATGCTGAAAAAGCTTCAGGACTCTCTAGGAAAGGAGCACGTTGCTAAAGAAATTATAATATCTCCACTCAAAGGAATCACACGGAAAATTATTTCTGTGGTTGCTAAAAATCAACACCGACTTGATGGTACATAATTAATTCCCAAAAGAAAATGTTTCCTTTGTAGAAAGAACTTTCCTGCAGTTTCCTGAAAATTACAATATTGGGGCAGAGGAAAATGCTTCCTCCCTTTATTTTGACATGCAATTGAACTGTCTGAATGATGACAAAAAAAAAATAATAGAATGAATCTTTGTAGACGTCATGCTGTTGTCAAAAGAATTTTTGAGAATTTGCTTTTAAATGTTATTTCAATCCATTTTAAATGATACAAGATTTCTTTACTAAAGCATTTATCCCCATATTAAAGAAAGAGATGATGGTTTGAGTTGAGAACAAATGTAATAGGAAAGCACTGACAGATTTTCTATAATTGAATATAAGTAGTTAGTGATTTTATTTCCTTGAGTTGAACCTAGTGCTAATCGTTTTCAAAAGCCCAAGGCTGATTCTTTTTTTAAGATAGAAGTTAATGATCAAAGTGTCTTCGAAAAATGTATGGTTGACAAGGGTTGTTTGTCCTCACTTTGATAAGACTGCGAAATGAATCCATCAAGTGGCCATAAATGACTTGAAATACTCATTGCAAGAAAACAACCAAGCTCAGAGAGTACCAAGCACCCCACACTCATTGCTTATGTTTTGTTCTTGTATTTCAGCACAAAGCCACCACAGGCCAAAGCAACAAACCTGTGACAAAGACGAGCTTTTTCAGAAAAATCTTCCTCGAAGAGAACATAGCATGAAGGAAATCCTAAAAACTGACTCCAATTATCCTAGAGGAAGGGATTTGTGCTACAGTCATGTTGCTCCACATACTCAAGAAAAAGACTTGGAGATCTTAAGGAAAAATTGTAGTCCTGAAAGGAGGCCTTTCTACCCTCGAGCTGTCTACCCCATCCGACCTCACATTCCAGAAGATTACCTGAAGGTTTCCCTAGCTTATGGGATTGATAGACCTAGTTACCTTGCTCACTCACCTGTCCAGCCATCTACTACCCCAAGTCCTTCAGCAAGAAGTAGCCCAGACCAAAGTTTAAAAAGTTCAAGCCCTCACGGCAGTCCAGGACTTACAGTTTCACCCTTAGCTTCTGTGACTCAAGAGCACAGGGAGCCTTATCCTTACTTGAATGGACTGTATAACACAGAAGGATTAGCGTCATATTCCGGATATGCCCCCTCAAGCCATCTTTCACAAGCCTTTCCCTACCCCAAATTCCTATTACCGTCATACGGCATGAGCATCAACAATTTCAATCTCTTTCCAAGGATGTATCCTTTTTATAGCAGCTTTTTCAGCGGGGGAAGCATTTCTCCTCATATCCTGAACTCATCTACCCTTCCGAGTTCCTTGCCATCCGACGGGAGTCGTCAGTTCTTACAGCCGGATCATCCAAGGGACCTTCTGATTCCTGCACACAACAGTGCTTTCTCCATCACAGGAGCTGCTGCCAGCATGAAAGACAAGCCATGTAGCCCCACAAGTGGGTCGCCCACTGCAGGCACTGCAGCCACTTCTGAACACATCATGCAACCAAAACCTACCTCGGCCATATTGGCTGCCACTAGCAGCGAAGAAGCCATCAATCTCATCAAGAGCAAGCGAAATATGACTGGTTACAAAACCCTTCCCTACCCGCTGAAAAAACAGAATGGCAAAATTAAGTATGAATGCAATGTCTGCTCCAAAACCTTTGGCCAGCTCTCCAATCTGAAGGTAGGCTTTTAAAGAAAGACATAATGGCTAGGCAGATTTCTCTGATTACCATTTCCTCAAAAATGGCTTTTTAAGGGGACCTAAAAGAAGTTAACATGCTAAAGAGTCTGGTGTTTTTTTTTCTAGAAATTAGTCCACATATACATGCTGATATTATATGTATGCCTATGGTTTTACATTTTTAAAGATTTGAAATTCATTTTTAAAGATTAACAGTTAAACTGTAATTATTTCTTAACTGGTTCACTAAAGTGGCTGTAATGCCAAGTGGATCTGACTTTGTCACTTTCATTCTGAGGTTTTTCTGCTGTGTAAAACTTTGAAAATTGAACTAAGAAAGTGAGTGCATCCAAGATATATAGTATTGGGTGTGGGGAGAGATGATGATGAACAGTATAAAAACTAGGGGTACCTGAAAGAGTAGCTTATAAGAAAATTATAAGCAAAACTAAAAAAGGAGAATGGACTGTACTAGGACTCATTGTAAGAGGAGGCTGGAGATTTCATCAAATGCTGGTCTGCCACTCATTTGCCTAGAGTCTAGTTGCACTGAGGTGATATCTAAATTTCTCAACAAACAAACAGATATATAGTTCCTGAGCTCTGCAGTCCAGTCATTTTTTTCTTTATAGCGTTTGAGGCAATAAGTTCTTAGCCACTATTGTTCCATATTCTTTTCTTACCCTACAATATTTAATATCAATCTGGAAATGAACAATTCGGCCATAGACCAACCCTGTCAAAATAGCATGTAGATAAAAATGATGACTTCCTTAATTTCTGCAGCTACTGCTCACATTAGCATTTTCACAAGTGGTTCTCTTTTTAAATATTGCTAAGTACATATTAAAATATTGCTAAGTTGTAGATCTTGGGTGGCAGCAGCATTTAAGTAGCAATGTACAAAACTGTTTCTGTTTTCTTCCTTTTTCATAATGCTTATAGAAAATATAATAGCTAAAGAATAATATTAATTCAATAAGAAAAGCATTCTGAACCTGTTAACAGTTTCATGAGATCTCACTAAGCATTCTGTTTCTTGAAAGGTTCATCTTCGAGTACATAGTGGAGAAAGACCATTCAAATGTACTACTTGCAATAAAGGATTCACTCAGTTGGCTCACCTCCAGAAGCACTATCTGGTACACACAGGAGAGAAGCCTCATGAGTGTCAGGTGCGTAGAGTTTGCAAGGAATGACTTTAGCAAAAGATGCTATCAAAATAAAGATATCCTTGAGTTATATTTGACCACTGGCTACTTGATGAATATATAAAGACTTGAGAGTGGGGGCAATGCAGAATTGCTTTGCAATAGTACAGAAATATCTTCTCAATATTTTTTCAACTTCCTAGTCTAGCTTAAAGCAGTGGGGTGTGATGGTAGCTTCCCATCCACCCCTGAGTTGGATCCATTGAGGACACAACCAAAACATCATTTGATATCTGTTCTTCTACCCATCCAGCCCAGTGAAAAAGAGAAACTGAAATCCTGACTATTTTTTAGAAGTGAAAAAGAGAAACTGTTTTTCCACTTCTAAAAAATAGTCAGGATTTCTTTTGCACCTCTTTCAAATCAAGTACATACAGTATCAGTTCTGGTTGTATGCTTTGGAAGGAGCAGATCCTTGCTGGAAGAATGGAGACATGATTTTGCAAAGAGTGGTTACACAAGATTCATCCTAGATAGGAAAATGTGGGACATGAGGTTGGAGTTTATTTGCTTATGCTTTTGTGTTAAAGTAACTCCAATTTCCTTCCTTCCAATTAGGTCTGTCATAAACGATTCAGTAGCACAAGCAACCTGAAGACCCATCTGCGGCTGCACTCAGGAGAAAAACCTTATCAGTGTAAGCTGTGCACTGCTAAATTCACCCAGTTTGTACACCTAAAGTTGCACAAACGACTCCACACCAGAGAGCGCCCACACAAGTGTATCCACTGCCACAAGAGTTACATCCACCTTTGTAGCCTCAAGGTCCACCTGAAGGGAAACTGCCCTGTAATCCCTGCTCCCAACCTTTCTACAGAGGACCTCAACCGGATCAATGAAGAGATTGAGAAATTTGACATTAGTGACAATGCGGACAGGCTGGATGATGTCGAGGACAGTGTTGATGTAGCATCGGTGATAGGGAAAGAAATACTCACTGTGCTTAGAAGTGAGATAGAAGGAGCTACGCTGAAAGCATCATTGCAGAGGAACCTGGTCTCCTCTGGGTGTAACCTTTATGAAGCCTCAGATGTATCGGTTGTGAAGTTGCCTCATGCTCATCCACTACCTCAGGTACCTATCAAGGTCAAGCAAGAGACAGACGAACCAATGGACCCTTAAGTGCTGTAGGATGTACGTGTGTATTGTGTGTGAGGATACATGTGTGTGGTTTAGTATGTGTGGCAAAGGAGTGATTTTTTTTTTTAATTTATGACCTGGCAAGTCAGGGTGCCTGTAGCAATTGCTTGTATATTGTATCAACGCTGCAAAACAACCTCAGCTTACAGTAGCTTCTCCAGTTGAAAGAAGGAATTTCCACGTCGCATTCTCAGGGCATGAAAAGAGGCCAAGACTGTTCATTGCCTCTCCTGCTTCCAAAAAAGACTGTCTAATATCCATAATCATTTTATAATAATAGTACTTCATAATTTATTATGCAATTTACCATTCAAAAAGCAATAGTTAGAATAATATTTACAATGATAGGAATATTCATTGTAAATGGAATATGAGTGCTTTTCGTTGTTGTGTGTTTGTTTGTCTTGTGGCTGTTCTCCATAGAGTTGATTCCTGTACATCTGTTTAATAACTACAAAATAATAGCGGAACCCATGACTGGACTAGGCAGCAAGGGGGGAAATGTTAACATGCCTGTTTTCAGACATGATGTTTTGTTTTGCCAAAGGTAAATCCTTAATAGTCGTTTTGTTGTAACAGTGCTGTATAACTGAACGGATTAGATAAACATATAGAATTACTCTAAAATATGTATACATCAGAGGGAGAAACTTATATGTCTAGAATGAGTGAAAAAGTAAAATATCAGACAGAATGCATCAAACATAGTCCTCCCAACGAAGCCCTTAGTTTTACCTCATGGTTGTGAGCAATATCTTGGAAAATAACATTTTCCTTCTCTTACATACCGTTTATGTAAGTAGACAACTTAGGATACTCCAAAGATTCTCTCTGTAAAGAGGGGTATTGCTGAGGCGTTGGCTGGCTAGATCCCAAAACTCCCACTGAGATTCTGCAAGAAACATGACAGCCTTCCCTGACCCCCCATCATTCTCCTTCTCCTCCCCACCCCTTTCTTGGATAGAAATTGAGTGGCCAACTCTTTTCTTGGCATACCTAGCTTGATTTTGTTTTTCTTTCTCCCCCCCCCCCCCCCCTGTATTATGAGTCAAGTTTTCTCTCAGTATTTGTATTAGCACATTTTGTGGTTAATTTAATGAAAAATTAAAAGGGCATTGCAAAGTTGCTGAACAACAGTTACCTCATTGAGTGTGTCCAGTGATGCAGAAAATGCTGTCTGTCTTAATGCTTTGCTACTCTAGAAAACAAACCAAAACATGTAGAAAAGATGGAATGCACATTCTTTTTTTCCGGTAAATCTTTTGTTTTGCTGAACCCAAAGATAACATGTCATGGTATAGGGCATAGCACATACTGTAATTGTATTTATAATTACTTATACCACTATCCTCTGTGTGCCTACAAGCACATACTTTTGTGAGCCAAACCTTATAGTAAAATACCAATTTAAGTAGCTTGTTTCACTATCACAAAGAGTAAATTCTTAACATCAGAGCCATAATACTGTAAATGTTCTTATTCATCATGAGGTGTGATTGTGCACATTTTTATTTGCTTCAACAGATTTATCCATCTAGTATTTTTTAAAATTCTCCAAAGTATTCTCTGAAGAATAACTGGCTTACTCTTACCTTCCCTCATATTATCATTGCAAACGTCTGCCTTGGGAGATGGAAAAAAAATCTAAAAATGCTTGCTAAAGGTCAAATAGGTCCCATTATTACTATATAATGCTATATAGATCAAACATTAAGAAGAAGAATGAATTGTTTAAAGTGCTCTGGAAGATCTGTCCCTTTTCCTACTTCTTAAAAGGAGGCATGATCACAGCTGAAAAGGGCAGTGTTACTTTTCATTCAGTATGTATATCTTTGTTTCTCATAATAATCTTAAGGAATTAGGCTGTTACAGATATAACATTATTCTAATGCCTTCTTATATAAAACACCAAACATATCCATACTCTACAGATAGCCCAAGAAAAACTTTATATATACCTTTTGAAGGAAGAGCTACAGTTCATTACATTTCTGTTCCCATAAATTGTGATGCAAATATAATCCAAATGTAGCAATGTTTCATAAACATAGCCATTAACTATTGGATAAACCAAAGTACCACTACTCCAATCACTGGACACACACACACACACACACACACTTTTCTTAATTGCCTATAGTGCTTTCTTGTATTTGATACGAATTTTACAAAGATTTATATGCATCAGCTTTAAAACTGCTTCTTTGTCTAATTGTCTCCCCTGTTTAAAAACTTTGAATGTAGCAACAATCAGTGTTTCCCCTCCTCCCTAAGAATAGGTTCTGACCAAAGTTAACAGGCTTTTTACTTTGCTACAACAAAATATCTTATGTTTACGTACTGGTTTACATTGTTATTTATGTGCAAAAATGTCAAAATGTAAATTAAATATAAAATGTTCCTTGCTTTATCAGTGGTGGTTTTTTCCTTCTTTTGAAATGTAAGCCGTGTTACTTTAGTTCCAACTTTCATTTACTCCCTGGGTCAAAAATACTTTGTTATGACAAAATTCATAATACAGGCTGCTTTTGGAATTTGCATAAAGGATATAATTTTAAAATTCCCTCTTAGTGCCTCTCACAAAAAAAATCAAATTTCAGTTTCCTGTACTTACATTCTTTTGATAGATACACAATAGATGATTAGGTAGGTAGATAGATAGATAGATAGATAGATAGATAGATAGATAGATAGATAGATAGATAGATAGATAGATAGATAGATAGATAGATAGATAGATAGATAGCTTTTTTGTAAAAAAAAAAAAAAAAAGTGCCGGAACTCACACACGTCACACAACCCGCCTTGCCTACCCTACAAGGTTCCATCCCAAAAAGGTGCCAGAACTTCGTTCTGGACGTTCTATGACAAAAAAAGCCCTAGATAGATGATTGATAGATAGATAGATAGATAGATAGATAGATAGATAGATAGATAGATAGATAGATAGATAGATAGATAGATAGATAGATAGATGATAGATAGATAGA